TTAAATTGATATAAAATAATTATGTTGTCCGTATTGGGATGGCTCAACTTCTCTTTTTTTTTTAACGCCTCATGGCTCAACTTCATGAATTATGTTTGATACATTTGTGGTTTTTAAGGTTTTTAATGTTTTAAGGAAGGTGCTCAGTTCCTTGAGATTCTTGACACGCGCTCGTGGAGAGCATGTAATTCATACTATTACATTAGCCCCGTTTGTTTTGTAGACGCAAATTTCAGGTGTCAGCGTCTCTGTTTATCTCTGTATTTCTGGTTAAAAGTAAGATTGCACACAAAACCACTGAACTGATGTTAATTATAAGAGACGCAACGTTAGATTTAAGATGATTATTGATCGCAAGAATCTCTAGCGGCAGTTAGGACTCACAGCGGCTGACTGCTTTTACTGTTACGGTGACATTTTTATCTCATCATCATTATCCGCATCATTTTACACAAACAGTCACACTGAGATTTGGAGCCCCACGAGAAGTATGGTATAGCACCATATGTCTCCCAAACTATTATCTCGTGCTATTTATCCCCGAAAATAACTTTCGAAAGCTATTTCCCCACCAAAGTAATGTCAAACACGTGAACCTCCACAATATCAAAGTTCAACATCTCCAGCCCCATAAAATTCGATTAGTTGGTTTACAGTATTGAATTAAAATCAAAAGCTTAATTAAACCAACATTAGACCAATGCATGATCCGATTAAGATCCGATTACCTCTTCTAAACCAGTAATTGAAAACCAGAGTAATTAACCGTAATCCTAATACCCGACTCAAAGTTTCTCAAAAAAAAAAAAAACACCGACTCGTAACCCTAAATACCCAAATCGCAGAGGAACAATTTAGAACAGAAAAAAACATTGAACTTTGAGATTGAAGATTAGAGAAGAAGCAAAGTTTGATGGCGCTAGTCGTTGATGCAGATGCTGGAGCCGGTGAAACCTATGACGAAGAAGCAGAAGAAAGAGATCAGTTTGAAATCGAGCAGCTGGTCGGAGAGTTCATCGACGAGGCTTCTGTTCGACATGACCAGATTCCTGAGAGTGAGGACGAGGACGAGGAAGAGAAAGGCTTAAAGAAAAAACCCGCAAAGGTCACTCACATCAAGCGTGGTGATGGGAGATTGTACAAGAACCAGACATTCTTCAATGGTGTTGCTTTCAAAGACTTTGTTCTTGACTATGCACTTAGAACAGGCAGAAATATCCAGCAATACAGGTATGATAAAGATAAAATAGGGTTTAGGTGTGTTGGTTCTAACGATGGACAAGGCTGTGAATGGAAAATTTATGCATCAGTTCTTTCAAGTGATAATGTGTGGAAAGTGAGAGTATTTGTCGATAACCATTCGTGTGTGCCTAATGGAGAGTGTTCAATGCTCAGAGTACCACAAATTGCTAGATTGTTTGTTGACAAAATCAGGGAAGAGCCGGAGTATTACATGCCTATGAAGATTGAAGAACTTGTTCATGAGAAATGGGGGATCACGGTTTCGAGGCCTCAGTGCCAAGCTGCTAGAAATAAGGCGCTGAAGTGGATTGAGTTTGAATATGATCATCAGTTTGCTCGTCTTCGAGATTATGCGGCTGAGCTGATTGAATCAAACAAAGACTCTACTGTGGTGATTGACACTTTGCGAAATAAGAAAGGAGAGGATGAGTTCAATAGGTTCTATGTTTGCTTTGACAACATAAGAAGAACATGGAAGGAGACATGTAGACCTTTGATTGGTGTTGATGGATGTTTTGTAAAACACAAGATCAAAGGTCAAGTGTTAGTTGCGTTAGGAAGAGACGCAGATAATGCCATATATCCAGTGGCGTGGGGAGTAGTTCAAGTGGAAAATACCGACAACTGGTTATGGTTTGTGAGGATGGTAAAGAAGGATTTACAGCTGAATGATGGTGAGGGCTTTATTCTAATCTCTGATCGTCAAAAGGTACACATGTTTGATTTTCGAGTTTTGTTTGAGTTAACATGTTTTATTATCGGTCTTTTTTTGGTAAACTTGTTTGATTCTCTGGTTTGTTTTGCTCCAGGGACTGATTAGTGCTGCTCAAACGGAGCTTCCTAAAATAGAGCATAGAATGTGCGTGAGACATATCTATGGAGATCTGAAGAAAAAGCATGGGAGTAAAAAAGACATGAAGCCTTACATATGGAGTTTAGCATGGAGTTACAACGAAGCAGAATTTCAGCAAAATCTTGATAGGATTTTAAATTACGATGCTGGTGTATACGATGATGTTCAGAAGACAAATCCAAGGTCATGGTGTAGAGCATTCTACAAGTTGGGGCCGTATTGTGAAGATGTGGAAAACAACTCCACAGAGTCTTTCAACAATACTATTACGAAAGCAAGGGATATGCCATTTGTGCCTATGTTAGAGACTATAAGGAGACTTGCCATGGCTCGCATTGCAAAGCGATCTGTTATCTCTTGTGCTCACAAAGGTATGAAGTTATCATGTTTGTGTATTCTAGTGCAGAAATCAGTTGTGTGATGATGTTTATTTTTGTGTTTTCAGGGATTTGTACACCCTATGTGACAGACTTTCTCGCGGCAGAGAAGAAGAAAGCATCGGATTGCAAAGTTACAAGGAGCACAAATGGAGCATATGAAGTTAGGTTAAGTGACTGTAATTACCGTGTCAGGTTGGATAGATGGACTTGCTCGTGTAGGAAATTCCAGATATGTGGCATTCCTTGTGAGCATGCATATGGAGTCATTCTTCATAAGAAGCTTACAGCTGAGGACTTTGTTTGTCAGTGGTTTAGAACATCAATGTGGAGAAGAAACTATGTCAATGGCCTTGTTCCTGTTAGAGGTGCTCCGTTTTGGCCAGCAACAGGAACTCCAGACATTCATATTCCACCTGAGCCAGACCAACCGGGGAGGAAGAAGGTAACTAAGGCTGACAAAAAAAGAAAGAAAGGTGTGAATGAGTCTCCAACCAAGAAGCAACCAAAACATAAAAAACGGACTATGCACTGTCGAATCTGTAGCCAACCTGATCACAACTCAAGGTTCCATACAAAAACTGCAAAGCAGGATTCTCAAGTTGCATCGCAGGTTTCTTCTCCAGCACCTTCGCAAGGTGCTTCTCAGGTTGCTTCTCCAGCAGCTTCACAAGGTGCTTCTCAGGTTGTATGAAGATATGTGTTGTTGGTCTCGAGTTTTATGATGTTTTTAGTGGTTTCTGACTCAGCTTTTGTGTTGTTTTTATGTCTCGGCTTTTGTGGTGTCATGTGATTCCGGTTTTGTGGTGCCAATGTCTTGGCTTTTGTGGTTTTAACTTATCTAGCATGTGCTTTTAAACTCTTTTGTCGGCTTGGATTGTGGTCATGTTGTGTTTGTTTAACATTATCTTTTGAAGAATCCAATGTGATTTAACATTTTAATGTGGTCACTTTGTGTTTGTTTATGTTATCTTTACAATGAACATAACAAGAAGACACATCAATCATAAATTAGTCAAACATTGGATACCAATGAAACACATGAAGTTCAACATTTTTGTTCATACAACATCGATCAAAACACATCAAAATAACCACTAGAATACATCACTTACCACTAAAACCCAACAACTCAACCATTTTCTTCTTATCACATTACCATTTTCTTATGAATAATTCCACGATACCTACCAAACACACACATCCAACAATACCTATTATCATCATTTTCTTCATGTTTTCTTTGGCTTCAGCTAACACTTCCTCTACCTTATCACATAGCTTCTTCTCCACCTTATCACTTAGCTCCTTCTCCACCTTCATTTGTACTCTCTCGGCCAACAAAAGCTCTTGATGTTTCATCTCTCTCATCTCTTGTTCAAGTTTTTCTGTTTTGAATTCAAGAGTCTCAACCTCGTTTATCAGTGCCTCATCAATCCACTTGAAAATGTGATTATCATTCTCAAGCTATTACAATATAACAAGCAACAAAACAACTTAAAAGAATCCATCACAAACAACACCGTTTCTTATGATAATCTATTTTGATTACAAATAACTCACCCTCTTTCTTGTAGCATGAGCACAACGAAGGTACCTCCGGTAAGGATTTTTCTCGGATTTTGACATGAGAGGAACAATTTCATCACCACACCAGCATCTCTTCGGAATTCCCATCACCACTCCACCCCGACGACGAGAAGAGTTTCCTCCAGTCGATGCTCCTGAGGTATTTGACGAAGCCCCTGACATTTTCTTCTCGTCGAGCTTCAATTGCAGAGTAATATTTTTAGGGTTCTTGTTCGTTGTCGAATTGGGATTTTCTATTTTGTCGGGTTTTTTTAAGTTCTGATATGGGTCGGTTTATTTCGAACCAGAAAATTATTTTGGTCGGGTTTTATTTCATCTTGGTTTAGTTCTATTCGGTTTATCATAAGAGAACCGGGATTCGATATTGGATTTACAGAAACCGTGACAAAACCAATTTGGTGGGGAAATAGCTTTCGAAAGTTATTTTCGGGGATAAATAGCACGAGATAATAGTTTGGGAGACATATGGTGCTATACCATACTTCTCGTGGGGAAATAGCTCGTCTTCCCAAGACATTTATTGGATTTGTATTTATTACTCGTTGTGTCAAATACATGTGGAAGTCATAAGACTTTGTCAGCTGCTGACACGGACTATATGGGCCAATTCACAGTTACCTTTTTCAAGATCATAGAGTCTTTTACTTGACACGTGGTTAGATTACTACCCCGTTGGCAATATTGGACTTCAAATCTTTCTAGGTTTAAGTTTTTGACCTTTTGATTTGTTGAAATATCAAAACTCTGTGTTCGTAATTATGATATGATCGAAAATGAATCCTGACTTAAAAATAATGATTATTTGATTGGCAACCCATGTTCAATGTGGTCAGAGAATCAAGTTGTTTCCCCAAAAGTGTAAAAATGCATAGTATTCACTCTTTCTTGATAACAAAAACACGGTCCATGATTTCATACTCAAAAACACATTCGACCCACTTTAATTTATTTCCACAAACATAAATTCCAATTTTCATCATACAAACGTTTATTCTTATTTTTTATACAATATGAGACGCTGATGAGAGAGAGAGAGGAGAAAGTGAGTCACAAGAACTACGACATAAAACCGAACCCAATTCAATTCTCCTTTATTCAGACCAAACACACAGAGAGAGACAACATTAATGGGAGATGTACGGAGGATCGTGGTGGTTGTAGAAGATAAAGAAGCGGCGAGGACGGCGTTGCAATGGGCACTTCATAACCTCCTCCGCCAAGGTGACACCATTGTCCTCCTCCACGTAATCTCTCCTCCGCCGCGCAAGAAGAAATCGGCGGCGGCGCGTCTCCTCCGCCGCCACGGATACCATCTCGCTCTTTCTTTCCGTGAAATATGTGACGCTTTCTTCAACGTAAGTGAAATGAAATAAGTCTGATCCCAAATACAAATATTCTCGGTTCTTGATTTTTTTTTGGTGATCGTTGTTAACATACAGACGAATACGGAGATAATAGTGAGAGAAGGAGACGAAGATGGAAGAACGATCGCTGAAGTAGTGAAAGAGATTGGTGCTTCAACGCTTCTCGTGGGTCTCCATCAGAATAGCTTTCTTTACAGGTATTATTATTTTAAAGTAACGGGTCATAACCAAAGATTCTGAATTAGTAATTGCTCGCTTTTGATGTGAAGATGGGCTCTGAGTGGGATTGATGTAACTAGAAACTTCGGCTGCAAAGTGGTGGCTATAAAGCAGCCTTTGACGGAAGAGTCGCCGCCGGGAAAACCGAAGGGACGCAAGACGTCACATACGTCAGATAGTTTAACTAACTTTGACTTTTCCCAAATCGAAATTTCTGGATTACAGTAAGAATTCATATTCCCTTTGTTTTCAATTCAATTATTCTTTTTAATATTTAAAAAACGACTAGAGGTTGTAGTAAAAATAATTAAGATTTTATTAACATGACTTGGTTTGTTACATGGCACTTTGCTTGTAACAGGGTGCCTGAGACTCCGATACCTAAAGTGCCGTACAGGTTATGTCCGAGTCCTCGTGCGATACTATGGAGAACAAGACCACGGAGATCTAAAGCTCGATACGGTGTAGTTTCATAGTCTATGATTTTTATTCCAAACAATAGGAAAGAAACAAAACTCTACCATCAATTTTTGTGTCAAAGAAACAAACAAAAATCTAGTCTTAAGAAAAAAATCATTGAAGTTTTTGTGCAGACTCACTGGCTAGATACCTTTTTCCCAAATACATCATAATTTAAAACATTATTTTACAGAACAATAACTGACTGATCAATAAGCTACAATTTAAACATTTAGTCAAATAATACCAACCAGTCAAAACTTAAACTGCTTAAACATACCCATCCAAATGATGGATATACCAAAAGTTTTATATATGACGTTAATTGACAAAAGTATACTAATAAAAACAAAAAAAATCACATCAGTCGAGAAATGAGTAGCTTCCCAAATATTAGTTCCAGTGATAAAAACAAAATGCAAAAAGAAGTAACACTCATGATTAGAGGTAGTAATAATGTTTATTTATGTTTGAGACTAGCTTTCCTGTCCTCCTTGAATTGTATTTGTATCTGTGTGCTATATAAGTTTCCAAAACAACATTACCTTTTACAGCAACAAGTCTTCTCTCCTGTATTCACGAACAATCACAGGTATGCTAGTCGGAGGAATCTATATATTTACCAACACAGAAACATATCAGAACTTGAATTCGACACGATATAAGCTTAGAAGATAACAATGTGTGTGAAACTTACCATTCCATAATCCGTAACGATCATAGATATATACTCTGCAGGAGTTGAATCGTACCTGCAAATTTAACAAAAGAAAGAGCATAAGAGAGACTTTAAGATAAAGCTTTTGTAATGAATTTTCGTTAGAAAGGCTTTACATTAGATTTAGAAACTGGAGGTTTTTGTTGTTATCCATCGTCTTTGAATGCTTTGTGTTGGTTCTTAATGGTACATTGGCTATAGCGTCAGGATCCCCTGTTAAATTTCCACACAGTCAGCACTTTTGTTAGAGAACTGATCAGAGACAAGAAGAAGATAAAGAAGAGCAAGTGGAACATTACCAAGTTCGTTCGAGCAGATAGAATCAAGTAGGACTCTTTCATGGAACTTGTAAGCTTCACAACACACAATGACAGGAACACTAAACGCGTTTGCAACCATTGCAACACATGCCGTACCAACTTTTGAGTACAAAGTTCCATTAGAGAAGATCGACGAAGCCCCAAGAAAGACACGTGTAACCTCACCCATGATGTAGGAAACAGCGTTTATATGAGTGTAGGTACAGTCTAGTCCACGAGTCACAAGCCTACGGAGTAGCTTTTGACCTTCAAGGTTAGGGCGTGAGTCTACAATCACTACACGGAAATTTTTCCCAATCTCATGCGCGTATAAGAGAATCATCTCAACAACACAAGAGAATCCGTATGTGAGAAGAACCTCTCCGTCTCTGATCTTTGTTACGGCGTGTTGTACAATCACCTTGTCTGCAAGAACGATCTTCTCATCTATGAAGCGGCCAATTTCAGAGCAGAGAGAAGCTTTTGCCTCTGACTCTGACAGGTCTGCAGGTAGCTTTCTGATTTGGTTCTTCAAGAACCTGATTGCGTTTCCCATGCTCATGGAGAGAGGACGACATTCTATCAAGAATGAAACGTAACCATTTATTTTGGCTGTCAAGTCCAGGGTCAGGTCTTTCATGGGAGGTGTAGCGTAATCGTTTATAGCTTCTTGAAATGCTTGGAGCATGGCAATGCATCGTGCATTGTCCCCGGATATATCTCCAGCCAAATGTTGCAAACCCACCTAGAATTAGTAAAATACCACTGAGTTTTTAATTCAAAACTTCATAAATTACAGTTGAAAAGCAAGTAGGTGTACCTTATAGACCGCATGGTGTATGGTATCGAGTGTGAATATATTGGAGCTTAGAGTGGGAAGCTGATTGCGGCGCTCGTATTGAGGAAGATGGAGAAATAACTCAACTTTGTTCTTGCTCTCCGTCTGTTCAACCACTGAGCGCCTCTTAGCTTTTTCGACTCGGCTTTTATCATCATACTGCATTTGTGTCTGAGGGACATCCATCCTCCTCTCTTTTTCTACTGCTACAAATCTCTTTTCAGAAACAGAGGATGTGCCCTGAGGTAGCTCTTTCTTTAGTTGAGGCTGTTTGGCAACCTTGCTAGGGTTGGCTCTACTAGACTCACCTGCACGTTTGCTTCCTTCCCCTAAAAATTGGTAAGATGAAATCATTAAGATAACATTTTTGAGATGAACCTTTGTTCACTAAAGGAATTAAGATAATCTCCCTCTTAATATTAAGGTTAAATCCTTGGGGTAGTCTTCTTATTAATACCCTAACTAACCTAATCATCATCACTATTCAGTTTTACACTCTAATGAAAACGGAAAACAAAGCATGCATATAGTGAAGAAACAAGAACCTTTAGCAGCAGCTTTTCTGGCCCGGTCTCTCTCTTGGCTGGCACGCCTTTCTGCTTTACTGGGCTTCTCTTTTGGTTCCTTTTCCTTGTGAGATTTAGTGGCCACAGATTTACTCTCTCCTGCATATGATAGTCTTTACGTAAGCAAATAAACAGAAGAACTAAAACCCATAGCAATCACACATCAACAGCAAAGCGATACAATCAGAGTTGATACTAAGTACAACATAGGTCCATTAGTGTATGATTCTAACTTGAAAGCAGAGATTGATAATCATACTCTTAACTATCAACTGATTCAAACAGAACCTTGACTGATTAACACGTGTACATACCAGAAGCTTCAACGTTCTTCTTCCTCCCTTCGGATTCAATCACAGCTTTAGATTCCGATTCCTGAGGAGCTCTAACTCTCATAGTCATATCAAACCCTCCATTAGGAAAACTGGCAGACAACTTGGCGGAATCACTCCGCTGGAACCCAAACAAAGACCCCGAATCCTCAGACACCTCTCCGTTACTCGACGGCGGCGAATTCCCAAGCAACGAATCCACAGGGTTATAACTCCCGACGTGGAGAGTTCGTTCATTCGCCACCTGTCGACGGAAGGCGGAAGGTGCAGGGACGGGGACGGGAGCGGCGCGAGAGGCTAAGTTATCGGAATGGTGGCGCGAAGGGGGAATCTGAACGGGGGAAATGAAGTGAGCGGAGGGTGAATCGGAGAGGGGAGAGGAGGAGGAGGTTATTGCATCTGCTGGACCGGATTGGGTTCGATTCGGTCGAGGAGACTCTTGTGAGGGGTCCGTTGATGTGAAGAAACCGACGCGGCGGACTTTAGGGACCGCGAGAGGTCCGCGACGTGCGTCCATGGAGGTGTTTTCGATTGGTATCTCGCTGGACGAAGAGAATCTAGGGTTTTATTAGATGCGTTTGACGATTGCTATAAGTATAAACCTTCGTTTTGAATGGGTTTTTTTTTTCCGTAACGTGTCGAGGAAAATAATTAACGATTAATTAAAAATTAATTAAGACTGGCTTAACCGGGTCTCGGATGAATGACTCTAGATAGGTGACATTTGGGTTGGGTTTTTTGGATTTTGATACGATGCTCATAAGTTTTATTCATATTTTTCTAATTTTCAGGCCGGATTCTACTCCAGTAAACTTAGACGACCCAACCAAAAGTCAAGATTCTAATCCCGTTGACCGTAACTTTTTACAAAACTTAGATTCATGTCCATACATCAATACTTCTTTATTCACAATTTTGTGGGATTAAGCTATGCTTGTAACTTAATGGGATTCGAATTTAGATTATTCAACGTTTGGTTAAGTTATTACACATCCTAACATAGAGGATAATCTATATATAATAGCAAACCATTTCTGACATCAATATTTTTATAGGAATTTTTTTTAATTTAATGGTCAAAAATGATTTGATTTAAGATCTAACGGATCAGAAATACTTTTTGGAAGGATTGTTGTTGTCATCAAATATTTGGCAACTCTTCTTTCAAGATGCGAACGTGTATCAGAATCGAAAATGTGTAAACGTATCGGAACTGAAAGGGTGCAAAAGTGTCGGGACCGAAAGGGTGCGAACGGTCCAGGACCAAAAGAGTGCGAACGGTTCAGGACCGAAAATGTGCGAATGTGTCGGGACCGAAAGGGTGCGAACGTGTCGAGATCGAAAAGGTGCGAACGTGTCAGGACCGAAACGGTGCGAACGTGTCGGGACCGAAAGGGTACGAACGTGTCGAGATCAAAAGGGTACGAACGTGTCGAGATCGAAAAGGTGCGAACGTGTCGGGACCGAAAGGTGCGAACGTGTCGGCCGAAAGGATGCGAATGTGTCGGGACTGAAAGGGTGTGAACGTGTCGGGACCGAAAGGGTGCAAACGTGTCGAACCTAAAGGATGCGAACGTGTCGATATCGAAAAAGGTGCGAACGTGTTGGGACTGAAAGGGTGCAAACGTGTTGAGATCGAAAAGGTGCAAACGTGTCGGGGCCGAAAGGGTGTAAACGTGTCGGGACCGAAAGGGTGCGAACGTGTCGGGACCGAAAGGGT